ATTTCACCTGACTAGCCCAGTGGTTTTTCCTACTCTCTTCAGTTTAAGCTTGAATTTTGCTATGAGACGCTGATGATCAGAGCCACAATCAGCTCCAGGTCTTGTTTTTGCTGACTGTATAGAGCTTCTCCATCTTTGGGTGCAGAGAATATAGTCAATCTGATTACAATATTGCCCATCTGATGATTTCCATGTGTAGAGTCACCTCTTGTGTTGTTGGAAAAGAGTGTTTGAGATTACCAGCTTGTTCTCTTGACAAAACTCTATTAGCCTTTGCCCTGCTTTGTTTTGAACTCCAAGGCCAAACTTCCCTGTTGTTCCTTTTATCTCTTGACTACTTTAGCATTCCAATGCACAAATGGGATTACTGTGATGCTGAAAGGTCTGCCTTGGATTTGTATTGAAATCATTCTATCATTTTTGAGATTATGTCCCATTACAGCTTTTCCCACTCTTTTGTTGACTATGAGGGCTACTCCATTCCTTCTACGGGATTCTTGCCCACACTAGTAGATATGATAATCATCTGAATTGAATTTGCCCATTCCTGTCCATTTTAGTTCACTGATGCCCAGGATGTCAAAGTTTATCCTTGTCATCTCCTCTTTGACCCCATCCAGCTTCCCAAGGTTCATAGATCTTACATTCCACGTTCCTATGCAGTATTTTTTTCTTTGCAACATCAGACTTTCCTTTCATTTCCAGGCATGTCCACAGCTGAGCATCCTTTCAGCTTTGGGCCAACAGCTTCATTAGCTTTGGAGCTACTCATACTTGTCCTCCATTCTTCCTCAGTCACAAGTTGGACGCCTTCCAACCTGAGGGGCCCATCTTCCAGTGTCATATCTTTTAGCCTTTTGTTTCTGTTCATGGGGTATCCTTGGCAAAGATACTGGAGTGGCTTGCCAATTCCTACTCCAGGGGGATTGTGTTTAGTCTGAACACTCAACTATGATCTGTCCGTCTTGGATGTCCCCGCTTTGCATAGCCCATAGCTTCACTGAGTTACTCAAGCCCCTTCGCCACGACAAGGCAACAATCCATGAAGGGGTGTCCTATCTTACTTATTAACAAATGTGTTGTACCAGAGGATCTTGTGAACACAATATATTTCACCTGATGTCAGATGCTTGTACCACAATAAATATATTAATCTATAATGTAGATTATAGTATATTTAATGTAATGTAATCTCTTGTATTATTACTTATAGTACATATATTACTATAAAAATATAGCACACTGCCTATTTGCATGCCATACACATTTTGCATTATCCTCACCTATGGACAGATATATTTTATTTCAATGTTGTTACTTATTCATTTGCTTCCTGTTCCAAAGAAAACCACCTCCTCAGGAATGCTGTACCTTTTTAACTCTTTGTTCTTTCTGGGTAAGTTAAGACTAAAAGTAAAAAGCAATTAGTAGCTGATAATCCACCCAGGTTAGCTCCTTAGTTTCCTACTCTCTTGTCCCCAGAGTAACTTCTCAAAGCGTACGGTTTTTGCTCTAGGTGCAATTAGGATTATAAGAGGAAACACATTTTGGCACTTACTGTGCTTGTCTTCTAAAACCATCATCCCACAAAACTTGCATTACATCCGATTCATCAGTAAATCGGTTTTATCATAGATCATCCCTTCTCAGAAGATCACCACCCAGCCAACAGGAACCATCTCCCAGAAGAAAACTTCTTGTTTTCTTTCTAAGATAATATTTATCTCTTCTTCCTTCTCTTTGTTATCAAAGATTCAGCTTCCCATAAGACTTCTTGATTTGTCCCATTATGATTAGTCCTGTGGGATGTATGTTTTGTTTCTGTTCCTCTCTTTGCCATTACATTTTTCACCATCCCTGCAATGGCACGTTATTCTCTTTTACCTGTCTATTCTCTTGCCGCCTCCTGTCTCTAAAAAAAATCTTATATGCTGCTGAGACAAACTGAATACTGCTTTGAATTTTAAGTGATGCTCAATTTAAAGCTTCATATTACTTGATTTTCCTGTCACTTCTAATATATCAGTATTCTTCTGATCTAAGAGCTGGCATGTGTTCTATTCTGAGTCGGCTAATTATTACTTGATTTTCCTGTCACTTCTAATACATCAGTATTCTTCTCATTTAAGAGCTGGTATGTGTTCTATTCTCAGTCTGCTAATGTTACTTTATTGGACTACAGCTTCCAGAATTCTCCAGAAAACATAGTCAATAGTCATAGCTGTTTGGAGAATTTTTAGAGCTATAGTCTAAGAAGGTAATATTTCCAAATTTTCTTCTAATATAGGTACACAGTGTAATTTCCCAATGGCACACAATTATTCCTGGTTCAATCTTAAAAAACACATTCACTTAATACATATGTATACACAAAGTAACAAGTGCATCATCATTATCTAAGTATCTGCTAAAAGGCTAAGGTTCCAGATATCTATCCAGAGCGAGTTTCTCCATGTTAAATGATTATCCATTTTAATTGAGAGAAAGAGTTACATAAAGATATTCAGTCATGCTCTGATATGAAAGGGATGTTCTGTTTTTCTCAACATATTTGGCATATCAAGAGTGTCCAAGCTTTTCAATAAGGTAGTAAAAAGCAATTAGTGGGTATAAAATGAAATATTAGTTTTAAACTAACCTTTTCCAAATCGTCCATAGCTGCCTTCATTTTGCCTATTTTCCTATATAGTGCTCCACGCCTACAATAATTAAATGCAGATAAACATTCTTCATTTATCTGACTTATTCTATTAATCTCAGACAGACATTGCTCAAGTTCCTCTGTTCTGCCTTCTATAAGAAGAGGGTTCACTGAATCTGTTATTTCTTTTTCCTTTGTTTCTTCCTCTGGTTCCTTTTTGCTTGATACTGACTTATCTTCTGTAGATGGCCTACTAGGAGGGTACAGCTCATCAAACCATTTATTCCAGATCATTCTGACGAAAAGATAATCATCGGTGTCTTCAGGCTTTCTACCTTGTTCTTCCAGAAATTTTGCAAAATCTAGCCAACATGGAAGACTAGGACTTCGATAATGTTGAACTGCTCGAGATACTTGGATTATGAATTTATTATGTGTAGGAAGCTTCCCCAGAGACACTGACCTGAATTAAATAAATAAAAGGAAATTTGTAGTTAACACTGACACAAAGGTAAACTTGAAGGGACAGCTGAAGTAATCTGAAAAATAAATTAAGCAATATAATACAGTATCTAATGATATTTACTGAGAAAATATATTAGAATTGGTACATAATATTCAAGCATTACACTGTATGAGACAGATCCAGCTAGAGATAGTGAAAAACAAAGCATTTCACAAATTCTCCTTCACTTTATTAATATAGAAACTGTTCAATTTTACATAGAGCTCTGTAACTGTGCAAAACTGGCAAATAAATGCGTTAACTAGCCTAAAGCAGTAGTGGCCCAACTTCATACAAGAAGTCCAAATGACATCTCCCTTTCATGGTGGTTAAATCAACCTAATAAGGCAAAAGAATACAGTGGGGTCTTGACTTAAGAACGGCTCGAGTTAAGAACATTTTGACTTAAGAACCGCTCTCATAGGAAAATATTGACTTGACTTAAGTACTTAGATTTGAGTTAAGAACTGAAAAAAAAACCACGTGGGAGGCAGGGAAAGTGCAAAATGTGAACTTTCAGTGAACTGTTGGCCAGTGAAAAGGGTGCCTGTCTGCTTCCTCACTCCTCCCAGCGTTTAGAGAGTGGATTTGGAGACAGTCTTCGGACTGCCTGGTACTGTCCTGCCTGGACTGTATTTTCCCTGCCTTCCCTGAACCTTTCTTGACCTAAGAAAAAAAGAAACAAAATATCCCCCTCCAGTGGTCGAAGGCGGAATAGCAGCTTCCCATTAGTTTCTATGGACGGAAAAGAGCAGATACGGATCAAATGGTTTTCAATGCATTCCTATGGGAAATGCAGATTTGACCTGAGAACTTTTTGACTTGAGAACCGCCTTCCAATACGGATTAAGTTCTCAAGACCCCACTGTAGTTCAGTAGTACCACAGCAGATATTGTGCATATCCTCAGACAATTTGTCTGCTCCCTGCAGTACAAATCCTTAGTTTGTTCTTCTCACTAGACAATGTTCTCTCCTGTATTTCTTTGTTTTAAACTTATACTTTACCTGTTTTGTATAAAAGAACTGAAAGCAAAAAAAAATGGTTCTTTCATATAACAACTCTCATCAGTCAATTAATAACATTCATTAAACTTCCTTATTTTTACCATCACTGTTATTCATTTGCTTCATGCTGCTAAAACCATAAACTAATAATCTGCTGTTTTTAATAGCATGCCTTACTTTCCTGCCTAATAGTAGATTGAACCTGGACTTAGAAATATGGCACTAATTAACTGGAAAAAAAAATATCACCAATGGCTTTTGCAAGTGCTTCTGTATGTCATGGTAGTGCCACTGGTGGCATTGTGCAAGGTGTTCAATATCCCAAACTCAAGAATGAGCAAAGTTTGCTATGATGGGAGTGGGGGTTAAATGGAGCACCGCAATTTGTGGACCATGAGAAAAAGAAGAAAATAGAGAAACAAAATAGTTTCCATTTAAATAAAATGTGTATTGTTTCTTCCTACCTGGTTGATGTATATCCAGAACACACCATATGGAAAACTGGATTCAATTCTGATTAAGGAGGAGTAAAAATTGGAAGACTATGCATATGACACCAGGTTGCTAGCAAAAAATAGCAGTTATCAGAAACAATGACAGATAAAGGTTAAAAAAAAGGACTAAAGCTGAAAATTTAGAAGACAAAAATGTTGGCCAGTATCCTATTGCTGAAGAACAGCAGTGTTAACTGCAACAGCATAATTTCTATTGGTAAGCCCTCAAAAGAGTTGTCATTAGTTACAGAGCCACCACTTGTATTGTTTGTTGCATGGCCAGTCACACAATCTGTATGTTACAATGAATGGAAGGGATGACTCCTTAAATAGTGGCAATTCACCACTGTGATTTATGCTGTTGCACTTACACCAGCTTACATAAGTAATACAGTGGTGCCCCGCATAGCGACGATAATCCACGTCCAGTTTCCCAGCCATGATTGGACTCCCGGGAATCCGAGCATGGCTGGGAAACCGGGTGCGGCGCGTCTGTATGTTACAATGAATGGAAGGGATGACTCCTTAAATAGTGGCAATTCACCACTGTGATTTATGCTGTTGCACTTACACCAGCTTACATAAGTAATACAGTGGTGCCCCGCATAGCGACGATAATCCACGTCCAGTTTCCCAGCCATGATTGGACTCCCGGGAATCCGAGCATGGCTGGGAAACCGGGTGCGGCGCGGCTCCAAGCCTGGGAGTCCAGAAAGGCATCTGGATCCCCCCCTGCCCCCGTATAGCCATGCGTTCCTATGGG